CACATCCTTAGCAGTCAGGGAGGGTTTGGGAAGGACACCATTAGCAACCTAGAATTCTATGAAATCTGTGTGTTAGGAAAACAACACAGACTAAAGTTTTCAAAAGGGACTCACCTAGCCAAGGACTGCCTAGAGTACTTACACTCTGACCTCTGGGGACCTGAAAAAATTAAATCCCATGGTGGGAACAACTATTTCTTATCCATTGTAGATGACTACAGTAGAAAGGTCTGGACCTTCCTCCTAAAGACCAAAGATCAGGCTTTGACCAAGTTTAGGGTTTGGAAAACACTGGTAGAAAATCAATCAGGAAAGAAAGTTAAGGTACTTCGCATAGACAATGGTCTGGAATTCTGCAATTCTGAATTTGACAACTTCTGTAAAGAACATGGTATTTTGAGACATAGAACTGTAGCTAGGAAACCCCAACAGAATGGTGTGACAGAAAGGATGAACCGTACCTTACTAGAAAAGGTTAGGTGTCTCTTGTTTACTTCAGGGTTACCAAACACTTTTGGGGGGGAAGCCCTAGCCACCACAACCTATCTTGTGAATAGGAGTCCTTCTACTGCTATTAATGGAAAGTGTCCCGAAGAAATATGGTCTGGTAGAAGACCAGACTTAAGCCATTTGAGGATTTTTGGGTTTGCTGCCTATGCACACACTGTAGGAGGAAAACTTGAACCCAGGTCTACCAAGTACATATTTTTAGTTTACCAAGAAGGCACAAAAGGGTATAGATTGTGGGATAGGGAGACACCAGGGGTAAATATTATTGTAAGCAGAGATGTTGTGTTTAATGAATGTGAATTCCCTTGCAAAGGGTTTGCCACTGATCTAGGAAGCATAAAAAACACTGAACCAGATCCTAACCCAATTGAGAGTACTCCAATTGAGGTGGAGCAACCTTCACATCAGCCTCACTCCACCCAAACTAAAACTGAAACCCAAATAGAATCTAAAACTGAACCTGTACAACCAGCAAAAAAAGATATTAATGAGATCTTAGAACCCCAACTAGTTGACCTACAGCAGTACCAACTGGCCAGAGACAGAATCAGGAGAGAGGTAAGGCCCACTGCTTGTTATTCTTATGTTGAACTGATATTTTTTGCTTTGCTTGCAGGTACAAAAGTTCAGAGGACAGAACCTGAAACATATCAGGAGGCTTTGAGATCCAAGGATAAAGAAAAGTGGGAAGCAACAATGAGGGCAAAGATGCACTCCCTAGAGGTAAACAGAACTTGGACTTTGGTACCCAAACCCAAATATCAGAAGCTAATCCAATGTAAGTGGCTCTATAAACTTAAGGATGGCATTTCAATTTCTGACCCACCTAGGTATAAAGCCAGGCTAGTTGCCAAAGGCTACACCCAAAGAGAGGGAATAGACTTCAATGAAGACTTTTTCCCTGTGGTGAAATATAAAACCATCAGATTAATGTTAGCTATTGCTGCTCACCATAATCTAGAATTAGAACAACTAGATGTGACTACTGCTTTTCTGCATGGAAATTTGGATGAGAAAATTTATATGAGTCAGCCTATAGGATTCATTGATGTTAGGGCCCCTGACCATGTATGCTTGCTCCATAAGTCACTATATGGCCTCAAATAGGCCCCCAGGCAATGGTACAAAAGGTTTGACACCTTTATGATAGGCTTGGGATTTAGGAGAAGCAAGTATGACAGTTGCTTCTACTTTGACCTTGATAAAAATCTGCCCATTTATCTTTTGCTGTATGTTGATGATATGCTGTTAATCAGTAGATCCAAGCCTAGGATACAAGATCTAAAAAAGAAATTAAATTTAGAATTTGACATGAAAGATTTGGGAAATGCTAAGAAAATATTAGGGATGGTAATATCTAGAGATAAGAGGAACAACTGCTTAAAACTAGGACAGAGTGCTTATTTGCAGAAAGTAATAAACAAATTTGGTATGAATGACTCAAAACCTGTCACAATGCCCTTGGCAAATCATTTCATACTTAGTAAAGAACAGTGTCCTAAATCTGAAGCTGAGTTGATAAAAATGAATGATATCCCCTACTCAAATGTGATTGGCTCCTTAATGTATACATGATAAGCACTAGACCTGATCTGTCGTTTGCTATATCACTTCTTAGTAGATTCATGTCTAACCCTGGCAGTGAACATTGGACTGCCCTTAAATGGGTTCTAAGATACATTAACAGTTCTTTGAATGTTGGTTTAAAGTATAGTAAGAACAATACTGTGCTTGATCTTGTTGGGTTTGTAGATTCAGATTTTGCAGGTGATAAAGACACCAGAAAATCCACAACTGCTTACTGCTTTACACTTGGAGGAAACTGCATATGCTGGAAATCTTAGTTGCAGCCTATAGTTGCACTTTCATCAACTGAGGCAGAGTACATAGCCATTACTGATGTGATTAAGGAGGCTGTGTGGTTACAGGGGTTACTGACAGAAGCAAATCTTACTGAAGGGAAGGTCACAATTTACTCAGATAGCCAAAGTGCTATGCATCTGAGTAAGAACCCAGTTTATCACGAGAGGACCAAACATGTTGACGTAAGATTTCACTTTGTAAGAGACGTGGTAGCCCAAGGATTAATTGAGCTGAAGAAAGTCCCCACTGAAGAAAATCCAGCCGATATAGGGACCAAGATCATCACACCAGCAAAATTCAAGCACTGCTTGAAGTTGCTGTCCATGGAGTAATTCAATACCAACTGGAGCTATGAGGGATATGGTTAGAGTTTACTGCACTACTGATTAGTTTTCAAGTCTTCAAGGTGGAGATTGTTGAAGTGAAGACTGAAAAACGATGCCGCTTTTATATTAAATGAAACGCAGAGTTTTTGGCTTGAATTTATCTGTGCGTCCTGTCCATCCAAGCTGTGTAGATCCAACGGCTGAAGACATGTCAAAAAGTCAGCAATATAAAAGAAGGGAATAGTTCACTGTACAGCAGATTTGATTTTTTCATTTTTCTGCAGTTCGTTCTTTAGTTCTTGATTGATTTTTCTGCATTTTTTAGAATCAGTGTAACTAGGTAGATTGATTAGCGATTGTTAGTCAATCTGAGGGTAGTTTTACTCTTGTGGCTTGAGGATTCCAAGTGAGAGTTCTTGGGTGAGTTACGGGTTGATTCTTGGGTAGAAATAGAGAGGATTTGATCTGGTTGTGTTGGATCTTGTACTGTATTGATATTATTCAGATTAGTAGTGTTGTGAGCTCTCCATTTCCGGAGCTCAACGTGGACGTAGATTATCCAAATAGGATAATCGAACCACGGTAAAAATCTTGCGTTTCTTGTGTAGATGTTTTGTGTAATCTGTGGAGTTTAAATCTGGTTATGTTTGTGTTTGTTGGCTCAGTATAACAGATCATGTTAAAGCTTAGGTCTAAAGTGAGTAGATTTTTCTATGGAAGAACCTCAAAATGTTAGTCATGGCCTCCTAAAAAATTATACAGTTATATTCAACATGGAGGTGGGTATTAGGCCCTCAATATTGTTGTGAGACAAGTCTGGCCACTGCAAATGGTCTTGGTTTTTCAAGAAGAGTAATACTACACTTACAAAAAAATTTTACAAAGATCTCCATACAAAATAATGTGATAAAAAATGAATGAAAGAGTGACTTTTCTATTTATTTTTTGTTACTTTACTTTATATAAAAAATTTTGTAAGATTTTTTTATAGGTATAGTATTATTGTTTCAGAAACTTGACAGCTTATCTAAGCTGCATAAAAATTGTTGTTAAACACATCTAAATAGTGAAAACTTGGTTACGGGCCCTCGTCTATTTTTTTGGCTGACCTTCCCTGGGCTTTTAATGAAGGCAGAAGAAATAAGATTTATGGGCCTTTTTGGAGCAAATCTTTGATTTGGGTCAGTCTTGGACTCTCGGCTGGAATATTGTTTAGGAGAGTTTAGCCTTGGAGTGGATGTATTGTATGCATAATAGGAGCCGAAAGCATTTTGACAATGCTCTAACTGGGAAGTGTAATGGCTAATGGCTATAGGATATATTGGTAGGGGAAAAGCTTTATGTTCCTGTAAGATGGTTATAAGAAATGTTGAAGACTTCCAGCAATTTGAGCTGTGTAAGCTCCTTGTGGTATACGTGATTAGGCCAGACGATCTACATCCAAGGGTGATAATGACAGTTTCACTATATGAAGAAGAAATTTTACAACACACTCTCATGCTTCCCTTAATAGCCAATTATTACGAAATCTCAAGCCAAATTCGGTCGAGAATTACCACGTATAAGTCTCTCAAGATGATTAAAATATAGAACATACAGGGCTTATGTACAAATAAAAAGGACAAATGATAAATTCGCTCTAAGTTTGATCCAATATATAATATATTTTACTATTGTGTTTAGTATTTTGTTTTCGAAAGGAAATTTGAAAATGAAAAGTTGGAGTTTGCTTACGTGATCTCATACAAATTTAATTCTTTATTAAAAAATTTACCCTTTTTTTGTCTTTTAATATGTTTGAATAAGACTTAAATATAACTGAGTGATTTTAATATTGACATCATTATTTTAGGAGATAATTATTTTTTTTTAGAGGATTAATTCAAAAGTTAATATATGGTTGAATAATTCAAAACAAAAGCCTACAAGTATACAAAATCGGTGTGCAGAACCCTTCCTGAACCCCCCTATTTTTGTTCTCTGTTTCTAGCAACACTGTCTCCCTCTTTTCTCTGTGAATTTGTGAGCCATGAAATCAAAGTAAGTTGTACTTTGCCTGAAATCCTTATCATGATGCTATTTAAAAATTCAACATTCTCATAAATAATGTATAGATGGAAGATTTGAATATTGTAACTAAAATTTTTATTTAATTGGGCACAAACAAAAATTTAAATTGCATTTAACTAGAACGAAAAACATGGGAAGAACTCAACACCACAGTAAAACGTGCAACCACAATCTTGAGAAAGCAAACAGACAAGATACATAACAGAATTCCCAAATTTTGTGACTGCAATTCTATTTACCTTTACTGCTAATCCTTTTTCTAAATGGTTGCCTCCTGAAAGTCTTCACAAACCAATTTTTGATGAATATCTTGTTGCATTCAATGATAAATCCAACTACTAACCCACTGCCGAACCCCATTGCAACTATAATCTTCCATACAAATCCATCTTGAGACCTCACATTTTGATCCTTTCCAAAGGTAGTTGAAGGTGCTTTTGAGGAGGTCTTTGTATTACCACATGGCTTTGAGAGAGGAGTTCCACACAAACCCACGTTTCCCTCGTACGAATCATTCTGAAATGTATCAAACTGCACCCCTCGTGGTATAGGTCCTATAAGATGGTTATGAGAGACATTGAAGAATTCCAGAAATTTGAGCTGTTTTAGTTCTTGAGGAATGTGTCCTGAAAGCTTGTTGGAGGACAATTCCAATGATTCAAGATTCTTCAATTCCTTCAAGGATGATGGAATCTGACCCGAGAGATTGTTGTTTGAAAAATCGAGCAAATGCAGCCCCTTTAAGTTCCCAATAGATGTTGGAATCTCTCCTTCAAAGTTATTGTATGAAAAATCAATGGCTTTCAAGGCTTTTGAAATCTTCGAGTATATCCTTTCCATTCCTTTGTTATGTATTGCCAACGAATAGTGATAGCCGGCGTCATCATACATGCCCAAGAAGTAGGAAATGCGAACCATGCTTTCTTGCATATATTCTGCATGCTGGTTAACATCAATGACTTTCAATGCTTTCCAGGATCGGAAGTATTCATATGGTAGCCTACCTTGAAAACTATTGTGGGAGAGATCAATGACATGAATGTTGGGAAACTCAAATCCAAACGCAGGATCTCCTATTACTCCATGAAATTTGTTCGAGCTTAGACTGAGAACTCTCAACTCTGGAAGATTTCCCAACCAAGATGGAAAAATCTCGTATATATGGTTGTTCTCCAAATCAAGAAACTCGAGCATTTTACAATTGGCCAATGATCTTGCCACTTGCCCGTGTAATTGATTATGACCAATATCAATCGACTTCAACTGGCATTCATTTGTAAATGTTTGAGGAATGTGGCCATGAAAGGAGTTGTTTCTGAGATTCAAAACAACCAAAGAATTACTTAAGTTGCCTAAACCTTGAGGAAGTACTCCACTCAGATTGTTATTAGATAGATCAAGGACTTGAAGCGAACTTTGACTACAAATCAATGGTGGAATTTCGCCAACGAATTTGTTGTTGGAGGCCAAATAAAAAAGAGTATACATAGATTTTGCTGGAATTGGGAGTGATCCTTCGAGCATGTTAAACCTTAGGTCTAACGTGCGTAGGTGTTCCCATGGAAGAACAACTGAATGCTGATCAAAGCCTGTTAAGGAATTAAAAGAAAGGTTGAGATAGTCGAGAGTGTTTACACTTGTATTCCAAAACCATTGAGGTATTTGACCACTGATATGGTTGTGAGACAGGTCTAGCCACTCCAAACTTTCTTGGTTTTTTAGGAAATCTGGGAACTTATCTAAGTTGCATGAAGCCAATCCTAGCAATTCAAGAGAAGCATTAGCACTGATATTCGAAGTGAGTACTGTTAAATTGTTATATGATAACAGTAATCTCTTCAACTTTTTTAGCATTAAAAACATTTCTAGCTCCATTGGACCACTCAATTTATTGCTATAGAAGCTGAGATATTCAATATTCTTGAGTTTAGAGATTGAGCTTGGAATAAGGCCGTCCAACTTATTGGAAGAAAGGTCCAATGTTTGCAACTGGGTGAGTTTGAATAGTTCAGATGGAATTTCACCATACAAATTGATTGCTTTAAGCTCTAAGACAGTGAGTTTGGTAAGCTTTCCAACCACAGGCAAGGAAGAAAGAGTTCGGGCAGTGAAGTTGTTGTTTGAAAGGTCTAAATACTTGAGCTGGGTAAGGTTTTCAAATGAAGATGGAATGAATCCCTGGAAATTACACAGGGAAATATCAAGTTGCTCTAAAGAATCAAGATTTCCAATTGAAAAAGGTACCTCACCAAAGAAACTTGTGTTTGAAACATCAATTACCTTAAGAGGACTGCAGAAATGAAATTCAGGAAGCTTACCTCTCAGATCCTTGTTCCAGGCTAGTTTAAGTCTTGTGAGATTTGGGAAATGGAAAATTCTTTCTGGGAATTCCCCCTGCAATGAACAAGATTCAAGACCAATAGATGTCAAAGAAGTCATATTTGACAAGGTTTGGAGGGCATTAATTGAATTCATGACGACATAGCCGAGATCAAGTTCTTTTAGGTGAGTTAAGTTATGAACTAAACTTTTCAGATCAGGCTTACAGAGCTTCAATGGATCTTCTAAAGGTGGCATATTCAGAGATAAAAAGACCAAGTTGGATAATTGAGATATTTCTGATGGGATTTGGCCAGACAATACAGAATGTGAGAGATCAAGATATGTCAACTCTGTAAGGTGTCCAAAACCTGATGGGATTTCGGAGCTATTAAAATGATTATCAGAAAGATCAAGTTTTTGAAGGTGGGAAAGGAGGAAAAGAGTGCTATTAGAGTTGAAAGAGCCAAAAAGACAACTGCTGTTGAGTTTTAGGCCAATTACATGACCAGTATTTTCATCACACTCGATGCCATCCCATGAACAACAATCACCATTTTCTCCTTGGAGCCTCCATGAAGACACTTTTGGATAAGCAGAAGATTCATCAGAAGCAGACCTGTCAATGATAAAGCTATCCTTGAACTGCAACAAGGCATTGCTTTCATCGTTGTGGCACAACCGCTGCACTAAAGAAGAAGAAGAATCGGTGACATGCAAATGAAAGAACGAGATAACAAAGAACAAGTAAATGAAAAACAAGAGCGGATTGAAGAAGGATCTCATGGTGAAGCTTCAAAATATTACTCTTAGAAAAGATAATAAGAGTTAGGAGGATAGATGAAATTTAGCTTATCTCTTACAACAATATATTGAAGCTCCATATCCGTGCGTTAGCTTTTTTTCCATTGTCGTTACTCGTTAGTGGAGTTCAATTTTTTCCTAGGAAAAATAATTTTTTTTCCCCAGTACCTAGTCAAGTCCTACTAGTCCATAGTGGAGACATTAAAAAATTCATTTGTTTGGTTTAAGTATGTCTTGTCAATGATATGCTCTGTTTTCAGTCAAACCAATATTATCAAATTGGCCGACAAATTAAAGATCAGTGTTTATTTTCTCAGTCAATTGTATCAAATGTCTACATTTTGGCCTCCTCATTCTTCAAGGGTGATAGAAACTTTAAGATGTCAAAATAAATAAGATTAGGGATGACAATTTGGACAATTTAGTTCCTAAATTGATGGATCTAGGACAAAGATTTGTAAATTAGAATATGGGGTATACAATAATTGTGAACATTTCTTTTCCAAGTTAACGTATGTATGGAAGAAAAGTATAGGCATACTTGGTCCAATACAATTTTTTTTCCATGAACTAGTTCTACTTGTTTTCTTGTAGTTGGTTAAGTTCAACATTTTCTAAGGACAGTTAAGATCAAGGATGACAATTTTGAGCAAACCTTGACTTGAGGGTGTGTATGGGTTGATAATTTGGTTCGGGTTTCTTCATTGAATTTGAGTTCTTCATTGGATTCCAAAAAGAGAGAAGCAAAGTTTTGCCTCTTCTAAGATTCAGTCCATTCTAGCATAATAATTGAGATTTTCAGTATCAATTTATATACTTAATTTTTTCTTTTATTTGAACAAACAATGTATATTAAATTTATAGGATAATTCTCTAATGAAAACGTCCTGATATTAGTTTTATTAAAATCATGCTTATATAACATCATATTTGAGATATTAAATCTCATTTTATTCCAATAAAAAAAAAAAATGAATTCAAGAACAAGGATTTGAAGATAAAAATGTATATGTAAATGGTGGTAAAATTGGGATATATGTAAAGGATAGGTTACTTCTAGCTTGTACGGCTTTTTGACTTTCTGTTTGCCAAGGCCTGGTTTTTGTTATGGGCTTTGATTGTGAAGGATTATTACTTGAAAGAGTAAACGAATTTTTCCCACCCAAGGTTTTCCTTAATGGCACACCTAATGACAAATATTTAATCAGTTACCATCATTCGATCATCAGCCTTTATTTTATAAAATTCCTCTTATCCTATCTCTTAGGGCATCTCCAACCCACGCCAAACACCATGCCATTTTAGCGTGGTGCTACAGTGCTGCGCCAAATTTGGCGTGGCATTATAGCACCACGCCAAAATGGTACAACATTGTAGAGCGAATAAAATATATATACATATTTTTTTTTAATTTTGTTAAGTTAATTTGAGTATTAAATTTTACACCAAATTTGAGTATTTGTATTTAATTTAATTTGATTATTATTTATAATAATGATATAATTTAAAAATTGATGAAAAATTAAAAATAGAACTTTATTCAATGCAAATATTAAACTACAATAACTCAAAATAAAAATTAACACTAATTTAAAAACACTAAAATTAAAAGAAAATACAACATAAACTCAAATAACAATTTAGTATTCTGGTAGATTAGTTCTGGATCCAGTAAGATCATCAAAATATTGAAAAGAACTATAGTTATTTTTAGATCATTGACCTTGTTGTTGAGCTCTTTTTTACATAATTCTTAATTGCTCATTTTGAAAAAACTCATGTAGGCTTGGATCGGTTATAGAATTCAAATCCTTGAATAAAATTTTGTTATCTTCTCGATATTTTGCCAAAGCCAATTTTTTCAATTGGATTTCATAATTTTGTGCCCTAGCTGAGTTGCCCCGATTGAAAATAGCAGCAAGCTGTCGATTTTCTTCTTGAATAGTTTCAAAACTGTTTAAAACCTCTTTATCATTTTTCCTTTTAAATTTTGCTTTCTTCACCCCAATGGGTCGTTCAGCTGAACTACCCCCAATATTTTCATCACTTATGTTTAGAGAATTTGACGATATGTCACAAGACATCGATTGGGGAGACTTTGAAGTGGGAGTCTCTGATTCTTGTGATTCAAACCTATCGGTTTGCCTTTGAAATACTTCTGCGGCGTTAACATTATTTGTAAATTTTTCAATATCCTTAAGTATAGGCCACACATGATCAAATTTGAAACCTTTCTCGTAACTTTTATCTTGTGCTAGTAACATTTTGGCTTGAATCATCTACAAAACAATATACATATAACGTTAAAATCAATTAGATAAAAAAAAAAATGCTTGAATGAAATGTAACAAATACTCACAATATCTTGCTCGACATAAACAAATCAAGGATATAGAGACTCACCATACTCTTCGAAATGCATTAATTGATCATTTGTGGGAAGAACATACTAATTCGAAAAATTCAATTACTATGAATATGGAATTTTACCTTTGTGTTGCTGTAGTTGTTTTTTTTTTTTTTTTAATCATTTTATATTAGATGTAATGTTTTTCTATATTAAATGTAATGTTTATTTGATTAAATAAATGCTTAATTTTATTAAATTAATATAATTTTCAAAATAATTATTATTTAATAAAAATATCATTCCCAATATTTAATTAATATATACAAAAATAATGAGTGAAATAGATTAATTGTTGATTATTACAATAAAAGAAAAAAAGAATATTCTAAGGAATATTCTTTTTGGTGTAATATTTGGTGTTGTGGGTTGGAGATGGAATAGTATTTTGCACCAAAATTTGCATTAATTTGGTGCAATTTTGTACCAAATTGGTGCAATGGGTTGGAGATAGTCTTAGTAGCTCATCGAACCTCGGTTGAGAAAATGAAGTATATTTTGGATATGAACGGAATATAAACTTTAGGTCGGAAAGTGGTATTTTGAAACTTTTTCCATAGGAAAATAACATTAAGGCAAACCTTGGGCGGGTACTTGAAATATTTAGAGTCATAAATACCTAATACCACTAAAGAATCAAGGTTTCCAATTGAATGGAGAAATTTATTAAATGGGTACAGAAAAGGTCATGATGTAGCATCAGAGCAACTATATACTCTGTTAACGGCTCCAACTTACCCACAGGTTCAAAATATTTCTTTCTGTATCCTGCACTCTTCTAGATATACCTTGCAGTTTTAGTTCATCATAATCCTATGTGATTTGTCTTGACAACGTGGGGAGCTACAATAAGTGAAGGAATGTTGTGCTTCCATTTTTCTAATGGATTAAATAAATCTTTACCTGCATGGCAGGGATCTGTCTCTGTTCTCTAAATGTACACATTGTGTTCGAATAATTTTTAAAGTGTGTCCATGTACATCAATTCTTATTTGTGATCAGATGACTTTTGTCTAATTGTTCAATATTTACCAAATGAATGAACAGATCTTCTGTCTGTAGTAGCTGTCAATATCTGACACATTGGACAACTAATTTCCATTTTCAGTGTAGCTATAAAAACCATAATGTTCTGGGTCATTCATATATTTTAATTGGAGGATGTAAAGGACTAGAATTTGATATGATGTTTAACTTCAGTTGGTTGGTTCTAGGAACCTCATTCATTGTAGCACAGGAATTTAAACTAGCTTATATTAAGAACAAAAAACGTGTTTTCCCTTGTAACTTCCAAATATGTAAGTATCATTTTAAATCTTGAGAAGAAACTATATTTGATACAGTTGATTCCTTTTCATATGCAGTTTGGCGGATTTGATAATGTACGAGCATATGCAGTCATAAAGCCTCCTAAGTTTGATTCTCCTATGTTCCTGCCGCTCAAAGCTGCAAAAAGACCCGAGGTAGGAATCTATCTTTGTTTCCTTTGTCTCTGATGTGGATGAATTTCAGCATGGTCAAGATATCTGGATGTAGACAAGAGATTATTTATAATCTTGTTAAAAGTTTCCTTTGTTATCTGATTCTATTTGTTTCGTAGGTACCTCTTTATGATAGTTTTCTATAAGAAGACTTTGATTCAGATGGAGCAGAAGACTTTGTATCGAAGGATTCAGAGGAAGAACATGACTTGACATTGACTGATGCAATTGAAGGACGAGACATGACTTTGAATGAATTCTGGGTTGAGAATGTTTTTCTTGAAATTTAATATGCTGAAGTTTTGAAGTATCTTCTGGATTTTCTCTCTCTCTTTCTCTTAATCTTCGAATAAATAGGAGACCAACATAGAACTGAACAAAAAGATGCTAGCTCAAGGAGAAAAAATTAAACAACTAGAGAGCCTTGTTGAAGAGTTACGAAAAGAGCAGGGTGATTGCTCCAAGAGGATGGAAGACATGTTAAGTACTCTTTTACAGCAATCATCTCGCAAAGGTCATGGCAAAGGTACTGCTTAGAATATATTTTTGAAAAGTTGATGTTCACTTGCAAGTCTTCTTTTGTTTGAGAGTGTAATATTGTTTAGGAGAGTTTAGCCTAGGATTGAACGTATTGTATGCATAACAGAGGCCGAAAGCATTTTGACAATGCTCTAACTGGGAAGTGTAATGGCTAATGGCTATAGGATAAATTGGTAGGGGAAAAGCTTTATGTTCCTGTAAGATGGTTATAAGAAATGTCGAAGACTTCCAGCAAGTTGAGCTGTGTAAGCTCCTTGTGGTATACGTGATTCGGCCAGACGGTCTAGGTCCAAGGGTGACAATGACAGTTTCACTATATGAAGAAGAAATTTTACAAAACACTCTCATGCTTCCCTTAATAGCCAATTATTACGAAATCTCAAGCAAAATTCGGTCGAGAATTACCACGTATAAGTCTCTCAAGATGATTAAAATATAGAACATACTGTTGGAGTTGTCGACTACTTCAGCATTAATGGGTAACGGAGACGCACTCGGGGGTCCCGCTGGGATAGCGCCCCCGAGCCCGTAGGCTGTTTTGGGCTTTTCCATGT